GACGACTGCAACAGATTCTGTAGAACTACTGATTGGCTCAGACTATTATTGGGAATTCTTTACTGGTAGAACTCAAAGAATCAAGGACAGACTGATGGCTGTAGAAACTATACTGGGATGGGTACTACAAGGGCCGTCAGAGCAAAGCAAGACAAAACTAACACATAATCAAGCAGTCGTGGTTCTGAAGGTCGAAGCTGCGGAGACAGAACTCCAGCAAGAGCTACAGAAGTTCTGGAGCCTGGAGTCAATGGGGATCTCAAGAAATAGTTTGGATAACACCGGAAATGAAGTGGTCGAAGAATTCGAGCGCAAGATTGTACAACAAAACGGTCGCTATCAAGTCAGCTTGCCATGGAAACAGGACGTAAACTTGGAAAGCAACAAGGAAAATGCGATAAAAAGACTACAGCAACTGACTAAAAGGCTGCAAAAAAATGAAGGCATGCTGTATCGCTACGACAAAGCTATATCAGAGTACATGGCATTAGGAGTCGCAGAGGAGGTCCAAGAGCCATCAGAACAGCCAAATGCACTTTGCTACTACATGCCACATCATGCGATCATTAGAGAGGACCGAGCCAAAACAAAGGTTCGAGTAGTGTTTGACGCCTCATCACATTCTAGAAAAGGCATGTCTCTAAACGAGAACCTAGAGGCAGGAGCCAATTTGAATGAGGACATGCTATCGCTGCTCATTAATTTCCGAAAAGAAAAGGTGGCGTTAGTTGGAGATCTTGAAAAGGCATTTCTACAAATCTCTATTAATGAAGAGGATAGAGATGCAATGAGATTTCTGTGGTGGAAGCAAGACGCTGAAGGAAGGTTAATGAATGAAGTGCAAACATGGCGCATGACAAGAGTAACGTCCGGAACAACACCAAGCACATTTATACTGGCAGCTACAATTAAACACCATTTGAAACAAGTGGAAGACCAGTTTCCTGATACGACAAGGACACACCAGAAAGCGATCTACGTGGATGATGTCATTTTGGGAGCAGCAACGCTTGATGAAGCAGTTAAGTTGTACAAAGAGGCAAAGCAAGTGTTCAGAGATGCAGCGATGAATTTGAGAAAATGGACATCCAATGAAGAGCGATTAAACAAAATAATTGATGAAAACGAAAGAGACGATTCTCACATAGATATTCGATCTAGAGGATTTACAATGCTCCTGGGCTTGATATGGAAACACTCAAAGGACATGATTTGCTTCCCTATTGAAAAGTGGAATTTATTAACAGATACAACGCACTTGACAAAAAGGGCTGTGTTACAAACCACAGCAAAGATATTTGACCCACTCGGTTTGTTGTCGCCATTCACAGTACACGCGAAAATAGGACTGCAGAGACTGTGGAAAATGAACGTCACGTGGGACGACCAGCTCCCTAAAGATGAATGCGACAAATGGAAGAACCTTATGTCTGAAGCGGAGGACTTTCGAGTTCTAGAAATTCCACGATGCTACGCAAGCAAGAATCCACCAGTACAAGCATACAAGCTGCATGTATTTGCCGACGCGAGCCCATTAGCATACGGAGCGGCAGCATACTTGATAGCAGTATACCACGATGGAAGCAAAGAATCAAGGCTAGTAACAGCAAAAGGCCGTGTAGCTCCAATTAAAGAGCTGACATTGGCGCGACTTGAACTGATGGCAGCGGTGGTAGCATCAAGATTATGGGACTACATCAAAGGTCACTTCAACGAAAGCTTTCAGGAAATACACTGCTGGATAGACTCGATGATTGTGCTGCACTGGATCAAGGGAACAAGCAAAAGAGATCCGTTTGTTGCCAACAGAATCGCAGAAATTAGAGAAAAAACACTTCAAGCAAGCTGGTCATTCGTTCAAAGTGACGACAACCCTGCTGACCTACTTACACGAGGAATAATCGCAAAGGCATTGATAACGTCAAAGTTATGGTGGAATGGTCCCGAATGGATAACATCACTGGAAAAGAACTTAGTAAGCATAATTGGCACAAATAGAGACGTGGAAGACCAGCATAAAACACAATGTCACCAATGCATGGGAAGATCTGAAATTGCGCCAATCTTGGAAATCGAAAGGTATTCATCATACGGACGGCTTATAAGAGTGACAGCATGGGTGTTCAGATTCATAAACAACACAAGAAAGGAAAATCACAAAGGGCCGTTGACAGGAAAAGAGGTAACAAATGCAGAGAAATACTGGATAAGACAGACCCAAATATTACTGAGACAAACAAAGGGTGAGGCCTATTCAAACAATCGACCATTGACTTACGTATATGGAGAACCTGACGAGCCAATGCCACTAACGCCGGCAGACATCATAGGTGGACGGCGACAGCTTCAAGACGGGCAAACAAGACTGTACAACGGTGACATTGAAGACGCATGGCGACGCAGATGCAAACTCGTGCGCGCTTGGTGGAAAAGATGGCATCAAGAATATATCAAGGAAATAGGAGCTACGGTCAAAGCCAAGACACGGCAAGCAAAACCACTCTCACAGGGTGACATCCTGTTGGTTGTGGACAAAGCTCCCAAGAACATTTTGGAAAATGTGCCGGATTGAAAAACTCTACACTGGGCGAGACGGAATAACAAGAGCTTGTCTCCTTCACACAGGCAAAAAAGAGCTAAGAAGATCGGTGAACCACATATACCCAATGGAAGGTTGTTTCAAATAGCCCGCGAGAGCTTATCACATTTCAACTTAGGCGGGCGGGAGCCTATAAAATATCATCATCAAACGCCGGAAGAAGAAGAAAGAAGACTGCTGCCTAGAGCGAGCGCGGGCTACTTCGCTTCTTCTAATAAACCGTATTCGTTCGAAGCAGTCCCAGGTCTCGATCGTCTTAATAGTTCGTACCTTCCCCGAACAAAAGAGGAAGGCAAACGGGTGTTCAGGTAGGGGAGAAAGAGGGGCTGACGCGCCATGTGCGGCGAGTAAAAGGAAACAACGCAATCGGAACAGAAAAAAATGAAACTAAGAAAAGTGGGTGGATTCTACATTGAAAAGGTAGGAGGAGAGGTCACTATTTCGCAGAACCAACAATGATAATGTTGCAGTGAAATTCCTAGCAGAAAGGATCAATCCTCACTTGTTTTTGTTGGGTATTTACCATATTGATTGGGGTGAAACAGCACCCTTTTTAAACGTACCTAATCACTGGAGTGCATTAAACTTTGAAATAAGATACGATTCTTCCCATTCTCTGTCTCTTGGGCAACAGAAGTTTGACTGAATTATTGAAGGTTTGAGATAATTGAAGTTCTGACCTCCAACATTCAAAACGCTATGCTACTGTTTTTGGCAATTTCCTTGCTGTGTCCACACAATGCCCACTTCATCTGACGTTATCAGGCTGTCCTGTTTCGTCACTGTGCTGTTGTTCGTGACAGAATGAACATTCGAGCAAGAAGATAACTATCAACTAGGTCAAGTAAAGTAGCTTTTTTAAAGATGAACGTTATCCCTAGTGGCGCATTTAACACAGAGGCATCTTGAAGATGTTAGCAAGTCTAGCATCGTGGACGAGAGAGAGGTGTTATGTGAGCAGTAGAATGCGGGCTTTTATTCACGTGGAGTAACACGCCTTCAAAGTTTATATGGTAGTAAACGACTCTTTCTGCTCATTTTTATGAAACTTCCAGTCCCCAAGACGCAAAAAATATACTCTTATCTCGTTCAAAGGTATATTGTGCTTCATTCAATAGGTATAAACATTTCAATAGGGGGCTCTTGAATCAGTGAAATATGACAGCTACACAACAAAAAACCAGAGAGACTCAAGCCTTCTATTCTTTGGTTTTCTCACCGCCCCAATCCCTAAAAAATTAACATATTGAGCTGTTGTCACTTTTTTGGCAACCACGACTCAGCAAAAGATACCCTACTGTGGTAAGAGCGCACCAAAACCGAACTTGAAAGTGCAAACCTGAAGTGTTGACGCAAAGGAAGACGACGAAGTGTGCACGCGAAAGGCGAGCGTAAGGCGTGTGGGCCTTAAAACGTTGATTGGCAGAGCGGGCGTTGCCACATTGAGGCGATCGGACCAGCCGGGACGAGCCTGGCGTTTCCTGCAGTGAACGGGTGGCTTCCAGACCAGGCCTTGCAGCGCGTTTCTATCATAAACGTGTGAGTGAGCTAGAATGGGCTACTGATTGTGTCCAGATGGTGTCCGAGACCAACCAGCTACAGAGTTGGTCCACGGTGCTGAGTCTGCTGGGGTCCGACACAATCGCATGCTGAGGGGGTGGTCTTGGCGCTACGCGGATTCATCGTGCTATGGAGCATTCCTGAGCCGGACTAGTTAGTGCGTTTCTCTCTCCTACTTCAAGCGTGCGTCCACTATGCGGTCATCGACGCCTTGAGTGATGTTGCTGAACGATAGTCCTCGAATAAGCCAGGCATGTATAGATACTTGTAGGCTATGGGACTGCAAGGACTGGGGACAGAGGGAACGTTACAGTGTTGTACTGTTCAGCCTTGTATCGAAAGTAGGTGTATTTGTGTTTGAATCGTGTTGTGCATAAATATTTTCTTTTCCGTGAACTTGTCTGTGTCTTAGAGCTCACGAACCATCACACCCACCCTCCTGGCATGAAAAAAGCGAACAAAAAGTTTGCATCCATGCCCTCATTTTCTTTGTTTTAATAATTTGTTTCCACGTCACCCACCAAATGCCAGTTTACCTCAATATCTACCCCATCATGCATCTCTCCCCTCCTCTACCTTCGTTGTTGGGGGCGAGTGTATGGGGCATACATGCGCTAAGGTTGAGCAGTTGCAGCCGCGAATAAGGAAGACGAGACGTTGAAATGTTGGCCCCAGCAAGATCTCGTGAGCGAATCCCCCCTAAAGTTTGCGGAACTACAGTTCGCACAGGCAGGCAGGCTCTGCGAAAACGGTAGTTCTAGGATGCGAGTACACCCTCCTGAGTACCTCTAAACACCGATAAATGCACAGGCAAGTGCATAAAGCACTTGGCACCACCTACAATCACAAGTTCCTCCTTGGGAGTGAGCTTTTTGCCCAAGTTTAGGCCGATGACGCTCACACCGTTGGGTCGTTTACGAAGCTTTTGGATCTCCTTGGTATCTTGCAGAAGTTCCCTGCAGTAAACAGAGTGCTTAATTTGTGAGAAGGCTTTGCAATGTATCTGGAGCTTATTCAAAAGGGACCTTAGACATTTTGAAAGCATGTGTTTGCTGCTGGTTGCTCAGAACGATACCATTTGCATAGGTAGAAGCATAAACATCAATAATCTTAATAATGCAAAACAGTCTCCACATCACTTTCAAAGAATGTCATAAGAAAGTCCAATGCTCCATTAATGGCAGCGTGCTAAACAAAGTCATATGAAAGGGTGTTTTTTTGCTGTCAGCTGTTTCGTTTGTTAATGAAAAAAAAAAGAGGTTCCTAACTTGCCTTTGCCTGAATAAAGGCTAGGCCATATTGGCATTAGAAAAATGGCAGAATGCCGACATCATGATGATTAGTTTGTTAGTGGTATTACAGCTTTTTTTTTTGACAGAATACGCAAGTCAAAATCCTGCACAACGACAGCTAATGCAGCAAGCCCACTCTTTATAGAACATTAGGTGTATTCACCGAGCACACACCATATTCAGCAGATAATTTTTTTTTTCTTTTTCTGCGGGATGCCGAACGCTGCAAAATCAACAGGAATCAAGGGCCCCGTGCATGGGCAGCAATAGCAACTTATTGGCTACCCCAAAATATGAAGAAAAATTAAAAACTAAGCAGTGACCGCTGTTGCTGGCATACTCTAAAGCCGCAACTGTAAATCACAGCAAGGCCTCCAAATCATTGTGATATCTCGCTGATCCACTACATCCGGCAAAAATTTTCCCTTTTTTTGTTTGTTGTGCATAGAATCGAAAGAACGGTCCAGGGAGCCAGAGGAAAACACTATACTTTGCATCAGGCTTTTTACCAGGGACACTGCGACTATTGAAAAGAAAGGCACAGATAGCCTGCTTGCTCCCCCCCCCCCCCAGCGTATTTTTTTTTTCATTCTTTTTACCAGAAGGCTGCAACAGCTGGCTTGCGCCGCTTTTCCGGCCCTGTTACGGTGGCCTATGTTTCAGCAGTAAAACCACTTAGCGATCGCGGTGAATGCGTACCGCTTACACTCTCAGCTGAATGCATAAAACTAGGTTGAATGTATACAATGACAATTGAAAGCATAGTAATCACTTTTTGTTTCCAGCCGGATCAGGTATCCTTTCTCTACGTTCAGCACGGGAACAAGAGCGATCTGTTAGTCTTGGTTTAGCTAGCATCGTAAGACCTGAGCCTGCGAGCCAGTGCTGATTAGTATCCAATTTCTAAGCACAAGTGGGAATGGGCTCGCCAGAAAACTCGCAGAAGCTCATCACATTAGATAGATATCGATCAACTGCATCGGTGACACATTTGTTGTGCTGTATACAGAGCGAAGAAAACCAGCTCTTAGATGTTTTTGATCGCTTTGCCTTGATAATTGCTGTGTGGCTGTAACGGGCTCTGCGCCTGCTAAAACGGCGGTGTGTATGTATGTAAGAAAGCTTTTCTTAATAACGCTTAGCTGCGAGTAGCACTTGTTCAGTGCATCAGAGTTATTTCTGCATCGAATCCGCGCTGTGAAGTATTTTAAAATCATGTACAAACTACGCAAGCACCAAATGTGTTGGAGACGACAAACCCCCCTTCGCGTTACAACTTTTCGTACAAACGAGTTGCTCTGCACGACCATGCGGTTTTGCCACACGGTCGTGCGCCGCACAAACAACAAATCGATTTTAGGAAGGGCCCTATTGTTTGTTTGTTTGTTTGTATCTTCTAATCCATGGCTCGTACCCACTCTGGGGGATTGGCCAAGAGAACATATAGTCTCATATGGACGATAACTGCATTATTGCTTACAACGAAAAAAGGAGGGGGGGAATTGTATAGTGAAGACAGTATGTTAAAAAAAGAAAGAAACCAAAGATATAGATAGTGAGAAAAAAGAATCAACAACAAAGTAGACACTAATAGCTACAACTTGATTTTGGGAGCCGACCAGACAGCTGGTTTTGCCAAACACGATTAATTTGGTATGTCACGGATTTATCCAGAATTGAAAATTACTTTTCGACCCGTTTTTTTTTTTTGAGTATCTGTTAACGTGGGCTTTATGTTGAAAAACGTTTAGAGTCTTGAATAAAATTACACACCGCATCGAATGCATCTCTGTGGCAATTTCCCAAAACACAGAGAAGGCCCTATTTACCTTGAAAGATCGTCTTCTCCCTCGCTTTCCGAGTCATCTGAAGACGTGTGTTGCCTGAAACACTTGCGCTTTTTAAGTCCGCTTTTAAACGTTACGCAGGTATCTCCAGCCATAACGTTCTCCTACGTTGACGTGCAATGTTTGCAGAGATTTGCCTTGCCTGCCGGAATATCGGCGGTCACTTGGAAAGCAGCCGTCGTCGGAACAACGTTGGTCGATGATGATGATGATCTCTGTGGTCTTCCCCTTTATACCGGGGGGGGCACCTTTTAGTGTCCTGACCGGAATGAGAAAAAAAAAAAGGAAAGAAAAATCACACCAGGTCCATGAACATCACAATTGTTCACTGTTTCCTTGACCACCACTGTTATTCTAGCCACCCTACCACTGTAGAAGCCTTGCTTTGGTTATTGCTGTCGCTGCCAGGGGGTGCACGTTAAGGTCTATTCGATCGTCACCCCCGGAAAAATTTCCGGAAAAATTTCCGGGGGTGACGATTCGATTCAGGAAAAGTGCACGAAACCGTATACAAAAAGGTGCAGCCGGTGCCGACACCTGGTGCAGCAGTGTCGCAGGTTTCTCGGCACCCGTTTCGGGGTGCAAATGCAATGCATCAGCAGCGCCACCGCTAAAATGTCAATCGAATGTTGAGGTGCAGTGCAAGCCTTTCGTCTGCTACAGTACCAAGGAGGATATAAAAACTTGCTGGAGTGGAAGCGACGCCCGTCAGGTGTTCGACCACATTTCCTTGCATGGCTGTTTTCTGGCACGACAGGCATGAGAATTTCGGGACAGGATGTGACAACGCGCATGTACGCTAAATCTGAGTGCACCATCAATTAAGTCGATCTGTGTATAGGAGCGAAAATTTAGCCAGATAATGGTAAAAAAGTGACGCATAGGAAAAAAACGAGGAGCCCTCAAAAATGAGGGTGAAAGAAGTTCAGTGTGCGTGTGCCTCCTTCTTTCTCTCTTTTCTTCTCTCTTTCTCTTTGAGAGCTCGCCTTTTTTTTCTTGCTCTGTTCCCTGTTTTATCTTTCCTCATTGTTTTGTTTTCTGCTTTTGGATGCATCACTTTCTACATTCTTTCCTTTCCAGGTGAAAATACTCCGCAGTTTCAGTTCACTTTAACTGAAACCATGGCTGTATACAGCTGGGACTAAGTACAAGCCAACACATTAGCAACATGTTCCAGTTGGTCCCAGCATGAACCACTCGAGACTGAAAATGAAACCAGCTGGCCTGGAAATGGAATCAGCTGGAGTCATTTGTTATAACGAAACCAGTTGGTGTGAATTATTATTATTATTATTATTATTATTATTATTATTATTATTATTATTATTATTATTATTATTATTATATTATTATTATTATTATTATTATTATTATTATTATTATTATTATCTTCCTTATGGCCATTCTCTTCATCCCAGAATAGCTGTAGTGCAAGGCAAATAAGTGATAAGGGCTCACTGCCTTCATGATGGTTTTTCTTTGTACATCTAATGCTGACAACATTTACAGTTCATTGTATGCCAGTACAAGTTTCATTTCAAAAAGGCACAGGGTATTTCAAGCAGTGCAAACAACTAAAAAACAGTTTGTGTAAAGCACAGGACATATGCACAACCAAACATTGCTGTGTGCTGCATCGAAGTTTAAAGGGGCTGGCACTCCCTTACCTCCTATTGCCAAGCACCTCTCTGCCAGAGGAGGACATGGCACTGCAATTCATAGAAAGGCATAAAGCTACTCTGAAAAGGTCTAACTGCTTTGCCTCATACTGCCATCACCTAATCTTTTGTAGATAAGGTAAGGTTGCATGAAAAACAGGTAGCCGTGCATCAGTCATTCCCTAATACGTACCTCCTTTAAAAATCCAAAACATCCCCGGGATGTCCTGAAATGACGAAAATATTCTTGTCCTGTAGGGTGTGCCACAAGACTGGCTGCATGATATATCTGAGTCCATTAAATGCAGTTAAAATATGTAGGTCTCTGTAAGGACATTGTAAATACTGCCTTGAACAGTGTAACAGTGAAATACAGATTTAATGAGTAAACTGCAAATCAAGTGCAATGTTATCAATTCAATGTTATCAATGCAATAATAATAATAATAATAATAATAATAATAATAATAATAATAATAATAAATGAATATATTACTAACATGATTATAATAGTATTGTTTGGTTTCCGCATACAAAGTAACAAATCGCGAGGATTAAAAGATGGTGCACAGGAAGGAAATGAGGTATATTCATAACAAATGCAATCTAACGAATTCTCCTACTGAGTTGCAAACGAAAGCTGGTCTATTAACACTACAATAAAGGGCAAAAATAGCAAGACTAAAGATTTTGTTTCAATTAATTCATAGTGACATAAACATCGACACGTCAAAAGTAATTTTTTTCTGTCGTTTTAAGTTAACACATTACAGGCACTCACAAACACTTAATAAATACACTTTCAAATCAAGTTGCTGTAAATATTCAAACTTCCCCCAAATCATAAAAGATGCAAACCAAATAAGTCCTTTTGGTACTGATGCCTCATCTTTCACTGTGTCCTTAGATATGGTACTAGCGTCACGCTTAACCAAGAGAAGAGAAAAGAAAGAAAAGAAGGCAGTATTTGCCAAACAGTATAATAGACAGCGCTTTCTTAAGAATTACATAGAAACTGCAGTTGGGTAAAGATAACTAGATGGCGCTGTACCCCTACTCTCAGATTGGCTGCATGGGGGGGACTGTGTCTGTGTATGCATAGAACGAGCGGATCTCTCAGTCTCCTTTATAGTCACCATACGTAGTGGATCGTTGGTGGGGCATGAACAAAGCAAAGTGGCGGGCACGTTAAAGACGCTTGCGCTCGGCTCCTTTGGCACGCGTCTCATCGGTGTTACCCATGCGTCATCTGCATTCTCGAACGCGATCGGACGCATAGACACATGCACGGACGGACGCTTCACCCCACTCATCGTCAATCACTCCATAAATATGCTGTATTTTTTTAATTTTCTTTTTTTTTGGGATTTAAAAAATTTATTATCATTTTTTCTCATTTTAACTTGCACATATGTTGTAATACCACTACTATTATTATGTTCAACAAAGCTTATTCAGCAGCTAAGTACATCTATATCGCCCTACATTTCATACAACACTACGCAGTATAGATTTAAAACTACGCTTCAAAGTTAGACTCCACTTATTTACTCATAAATTGTGCCATTCTCTTGATGCAGTGATTCATAGACTGAATTATTTTTGCAATTTTCTAACACATTTCACAAGGTCAGTCATAAACATTTGCTTTAAAATTAAGTCATCTGGACCTTGGCACTACCGAACAAAGTTTAGTACTTTGAATGCTTCGCATGAAATTGAACTCACTTTGTGCTCAGCTAAGCCCAGGTAATTTCTCATTTTAGCTGCCATTGCCCCTTTCTTGCTATCATCTAAATTTCGTCATGATTTGCTGATTATAGTGTTGTCATTTGTGAAATTACTAACAGAAACTATTTGTACCACATGTTATAGATATATTGCTAAAAATATAGGGTGGAATTAATCTGAAACTCCCGTACTAACTATAAAGTTAGTGCGGGATAAATACCATATTCTTTCGTCATGATCGTAAAAATGCACGTGGCGGAGGCATACTCATCGTCACTAAAAAAGAACTATCATGCACTCTAATCAACACATCTTCACAACTAGAATCATTATGGGTAATATGCCGTGCCCCTCCCGAAGCAATAATACATGGCGTATGCCATATTATTTATTCATGATATACTTGCTAGCTTGCTATATTTATTCATGATATACACTCTTCTCTCGACCGACACTTTCAGACCGATGCAATCTTTCTCGACTTCGCAAAAGCCTTTGATAAGGTACCGCACAAACGCCTGCTGTTAAAACTTTCCCAGCTGAACCTACACCCCAACATTCTTGCATGGATCACACAATTTCTTACTAACCACTCTCAGTTCGTCTTCATTAAAAATACCAGTTCTATCTCCCTCCCAGTAACATCCGGCGTCCCCCAAGGATCTGTACTCGCACCCCTCTTGTTCCTAATATATATTAATGATCTTCCTGTTCATGTATTTTCCCATATCCGTTTATTTGCCGACGACTGTGTCATCTATCACACAGTTACTAACGTTTCTGATCAAACTACACTCCAACAGAATCTGGATCTCGTGCAACAGTGGTGTGATCTTTGGTTAATGAAGCTTAACCCACTAAATGCAAACTCGTCTCATTTTAATGCCAGCGTAATCCTTTATCATTCTCATACCTAATCTCTAATTCCACTATCGAACAAGTTCAGTCATATAAATTCCTAGGCGTCACCTTAACATATAACCTTTCCTGGGACACATACATCAACAACATCATATCATCCGCGAACAGATCCCTCGGTTTCCTAAAGCGTCATTTGCGTCATGCACCACTAGACATAAAAATTCTGGCTTACAAATCGCTCATCAGACCTAAACTAGAATATGCAGCGCCCATGTGCAGCCCGCACCAGATATACCTAATAAACGAAATAAAATCTGTACAAAATCGTGCCACTAGGTTCATTCACTCTTCATATTCATACGACATGAGCATATCATCCCTAAAACATACATTGATATTGCTAATCTTTCTGTGCGTCGCCAGCCTCTGTTTATTTCACAAGTTTTTTCACAGTTCCCTCAATCAAGCACCTTACATCATCCCACCAAAGCGCATATCTCACCGCACAACCCATCCTTATTCAATCGCACGCGCACGCACTACTACTTTTGCTGCCTCATTTTTTCTTCGCACAGCAGTGGACTGGAATGGCCTTCCCCGTGACATTGCAGCCATCACGTGTTCATCAACGTTGGCACAAAACATAAATACATATTGTTTGTCAGAAGATCACTCTCTGTAACCTCCATTTTTAACCCACCCCTTGTGTAATACCCCCTCACCGTGGTCTTTAAGGTAATAAAGTGAAGTGAAGTGAAAGTTAGCAATGCTAACCACATGCTTGGCTTGTGCCAGAAATGTCGCACCACTCCTTCCTTTCTTAATGTTAACGTACAATGAAACCAAAACATGTGCATGCATGTGCCTTTAACACATTTTGTAAACAGATTTGTCCAATCCCTATGAACAAGCCTTACCAATGCCTTTTGGCCTGTTTGACACTTCAGGGCCTTCGATGCACTGTAAGGGCACAAGAAAACTTGTGGGTCTTAAAAGTGACTTGTTTCAAGACTTTGCAATATGATGGTTGATTGAAAGTGATAAAATACTGAAGTTGATAAATGAGTTAGTTGTGGTGTCTTGTATAATAATATGCATACTC